TCTCTCTCTCTCTCTCTCTCTCTCTCTCTCTCTGAATAATAATAATAATAATAATAATAATAATAATAATAATAATAATAGGACTGGACCAAATTATTCTAATCATAAACACGCTCAACGATTTGTTCATCATTTGAGGGCATTTTCCTTATCTATTTCTATTTCAGAAAAAACAGAAATTTCCTTAGTTGAGTGCATCAAGATATGCGCCGGGGTAATGTAACATTCACTAGTATTTACCATATTGCTTGGACCCGTTTAGCCAAAAGTTGAAAAGTTTTGGGTATACATGTAGCAGTCAGCTGGGTAATGTCGACTTAAGGATATAAGACTGGGTTCCCATACCTAGACCGATCTGATAAGATCGATCCATCTCCGAGGGGATTCTCGCTGAGTCGCTTTCAGCTTAAGCGGCTTATATGTCTGGCACGCTACTGAAGCTGCTTAACGATAATCAATTACCCCCTAGCAGCTTTAGTAGACATGACAGACATCTTAGCCGCTTAAGTTGATTGCAATTAAGCAAGAACCCCCACAGAAATAGCTTGATCCACGGTTAGCACGATACAGTCTCGGCATAGTCCCTATGGGCCATTCAGAATAGATGATCTGAGTGCTAACTAATCCGCCGACTAAATATAGCCGACCACACTTCAAAAGCGATGCCGCTTATTCCCGATGGTTTCCCCGCCTCCACACGCGCCTTTATACGGATTAAATTCCGGGTTCGAGGTTAAATTGCTAGGCCTCTGCAGCGACGGCGTGTGTGGAGGGGGGCATCATACAAATTATAGCATTTGTGTGGTCGGCCATATTTAGTCGTCGGATCAGTTAGTACTCGGATCATCTATTCTGAGTGGCCCCCTTAGGTCCGCGTTTTACAAGCGATTGGTCCACAATGCATTTTGTTGGCATACCTATAAATTGTCTTAACTGACAAACCCCCAGCGTAAAGGCAACCACAACATTTTCTGGGGGTTATTTAAAGGGCAGAAAACGCTACCCTGAGTGTCAGGGCACTGTAAAGCTAGCTTGCTCAATGTACCTTTTCATGTGTTGGCTTTACAGTGGTATTGCTGATGTGGGTTATATATGAAATCAAGACCGAAATCTAGAAACTAGGGTAGAAAACGCGGTATGCTTTATGTTTTAGTGAAACAAAACTTTGTCAGCTGTAAATTATTTCAATTTGAATTTCAGCTTTACTTGCAAGATCCGCAACAGTTTCAAAAAGAAATAGAAGAACAAAAAGCGAAGAATCTTTTCCCATCTACACGTAAGTTCATTCTTACTTTCTTTTTAGTCAACTCGATTGTGGATAAAGAATTTCAGCGCTTTTTTTGATAGAGTTAACCATGCTGTCTTTACAATTTATTTTCGCACGCCTGGTCTAAAAATGGAAAACAAATAGGTTCGTTTGTCTATTTATTTCTCTATTTATTTATACATTTTTTGTCTTTTCAGTTCCATGAAACACCGTTTCCTCATAATCCAAAAATTAGAGGAACGCGTCACAGAAAAATATTAGACAGTCGATATTACGTAGATACATGTAAGCGGACAAACACTATGACGATGACTTTGAGAACATGAAATAAATCATGATAATGCCAGTCCATTTAAAGTCTCATTTTCTTTTTTCTACCCTGCAGTAGCACTATTAAAACAGCCCCGCTGGAAAGTCCACACCAGACAGCAATTACCATGAGTTTTGTTCAGTACAAATTCTCTTTACGTAAAAAAGAGTAAGTTACTGATGCTGACTTGTTCAAATTTGAGTCAATTTCGTCTTCAAGAGTATGTCGTATGACTTCCTTTTCACTGGTAAAGAAAGGATTGGCTATCTTTGCGCACTATTATTCGTCGGTGGTCCATTTTTTAAAAATAAATTGAATTAACTAATATATACATAATCAACGAGAGGACTGTTTCTCAAAAAAGCTACAGATAGTTGTGTGTGTATTATTCTAATCTACCAAGACTTGGTTTTGCTAAGAATCTAACTTTGGCTGAGGCCAGACAAAATTGAAATCTTTTTTCTTTTCTTCAACATAGTACGTTTAAGAGGCATAACAATTAAATACTAGGAATGATATTAGGGGGAAAATGCATACCACAGTGTGGGAAGTTTCAAACATTAGAACAACAAAATTTCCCATTGATGAAAAAAAAAAAAAATACAGAAAGGTGGGGGCACATTTTTTTTCATTCGTAAAATAGGTAAAAAAAAATTCCTCAAAATAAGGTCGGGTCGCGCTCGTTTACCAAAACTTGTCAATTTTGTCTGGATTCGCCTCATTTTTTCGATCTTTTAACTAAGCTTTGAACAAGTCTGTATTAATGAACATCTTTACTCTCAGTTGTGACACCAGCCCATTTAAGTATGCAAAGTACATTGATTGTGTACCAATCATTCGAAAGAGCTATTAGACAAATATCACAAAACTGATTTCGCGTAGTCGGCTATCCGATTTTACAGTCGAGGCTGAGCTCCAGCCCCACAAATGCTGGATCTAAGGTGTGCATCTAAATGTTCACCAAACCGGGGCATAAGTAATTCAGCACCTGTGCTATCATTTCATTTGCACATTCGGGGCGGCAAAGAAAGCCGAAATGTGTACCCAGTAAGTACTCGGTGCACATATCATTTTAAGTGTACTTTGTATAAAAGAGAAATTGGGAAATCAACCCCTCGTGTTATAATTCGGCTAACATAAAGCATACATTCTTTTTAAAACCGTCAAAGAGACTAATATGTCGAAACTCGGTATTGCGAACTCATTGCTTTCATATACATTAATACTAAGATACATAATAATGGAGTACAAGTAATTTTGGAAATAAATAAATAGATAAGCAAATTAAGGCATTAATAATACAATACACGTTAACAAAAATACCTTTCTCTTTGTCAAATTACTCATTCTTTATATTTAAACAGTTTGGCACAGATAATGCCGTTGAACCTTTTCATAGCAGCATGGCATGCCCCCAATATGAGGGAACTGTCTCTGTTCAGAAGTGGTTTCCATAGATATTCCTCTGTCATGTGGACCACTTCCTCCCCTTCACCCGTTGCTTTTTTCCTCAGCATGATCGACACTAACGAGGGCAAGGTAAAGCTACGGCTCCCTAGGGTATATTTCACTCGCAAATCTACGTACAGTTCATTTTCTCCGTGAACGGCCTCGAATTTCTCTACTGAGCTAGCTGTCAGCGTTTTTTTCATGATTGGAATCACGCACGACAACTCGCGTTTCCCGTAGAATTTCGCGACGGGGTCCTCAAATATGACGTCATCACTGACATGTTTCAAGCTGTCAAGAGTGGCGGTGGCGGCGTAAACTTCCTGTATGCCTTTGAGAAGTCCTTCTCTATTTTTCACCACTGTCTCTCTCTCACTCTCGCTGACATCCCAATTAGGCGCAGGCATGGCCTTCTTCGGGGCATATCTGAGGTGATACAGGAGATGTGACGTCACACCTGTATAAGCGATAATTGGTGTCCCAATTAATAGGCTTACTACTCCCATGTTATCAAAATGGCTTCGATAGTAGTGTATGATATATATTACTGTGTATTCTGCTCACAGAGTAGTCGTGATATTGTGACCTAGATGCCCAAAAATTGTCGACTTGTTCACATTGGTGTTCACACCTAGGTAAACAAGGATAAACGCACCCGCTTGTAACTGTTAGCTGGGCTAATAGGTGTAAGAACCGAGTTCCTCTGTACACAATAAACGACTGGTTTGTGATCAAAGTTCAGGTATCTGTGAGGTATATACTAACACAGGCAAATGAAACAAATCACCAGCACCGTCTTCAGTGGGTCGAAATAGCGTTTTCAATCGTTGAGGTAGTATACAAAATGTATATCAAATAGATCTGGATGTCTTCCACGAATACTGTGCTGAAAATCCCCCGTGTGTAGATGTGGCTTCTTAAGCTTGTTGAATCTGTCCTATAATGCAACACTGACCTATATTTATACACGCTTTGCGCGTTCGAGGCCACTGGGTTCTCTACGGTGAAATGTTGACCCTTCTTGCATCAGGTGTGTCGTTATACAGGTATGATGGTAATGATCACTCGCTTCTTTACCTCACTGCGGTAAGACTGTTAGATAAAAGACCTATTTTGAGACCTATACATACGCCCCAACCTCAAAACAAATAATCCACATTACCCCGCTGCTGATGTCAGTGTCACAAGGACCTCTTGCCTGAAATATTTACGTTGATTACATCAGGGGAGACGTCACATATTGAGGTGAAGGTCACCGGCTAATTTTAGCGATCATTGTTAGTAGGAATCGTTAGTTCACTGCTTGTCAGGCTAGTGCACTGCATAATATTACCAGCTTTGGGCTATCGTACATGAATGTTAATTCTCACGGCTGATTTAATCTGTGATAAAAATATTTGCCAGACCGGGAGCAGGTTTAAATGAATTAACACCCATATGCACTGGTAGACCCAGTGATTGGGGGGGGGGGGATGTGGATGGGGGGGGGGAGCTCAATTGAGCATTTTTTTACTTAAAGGATTAAATCATCATTTTTAAAGTTATGTAAGGTTTTATAAGAAGCTGTCGATGGAAAACATAACCATTTTGAGGATTTCCAAACCCATGGAGAGTAGGCCTACATTTAAAGTTTCAGATTCGGCCGTGTTAATGTTGGGGCACGGTCTTAGGAGAAATAAAGTATTAAGAACCAAAATCACCTTTTCCTGAATATCCTGGAAAAGGGCGCTAGTTACGCAATATTCAGGCATCAGACTTATCTGCAGAAGTTGTAAATTGTAAACATGACTTAAAAGTTATTATCCAGAAACGACGCACGTGTGGCTTCTGGGTGTTAAGACTTACTTAGGAGTGACGCAAAGACAGCTGGCGATTACAATAGCTTAAAACGTTTTGATTGAACAACTTTATCTCTTTCATGAATACAATAATCTGATTAACATTTAACGAGTTTACAGTACGGCCGTAAGATCTCTACCACCAGATTACCACAATAAAGGATTCACAGTCCGTGCTTTCAAATTATCAGATTTGTAAATTTGACAATACTCGAAATGACCTTCAGCGCCCAGCCACTTCAATTTATAATAATGAAGTTTCCTTGGTGGAGGTTTGTGCTCCCTGAGTGCTTTTTTTCTACATGTAGTTTAAACAAATGTTCATTTAGTAGGCCTAAACATGTAGCAGCTAAATGTGAAATGCTAAGGACAGTGCGGGCGATTTTAGTAAATAAAAACAACAGCATTTAGGTTTTTTTAAAAGTTTGTTAAAAACTAGCACTCAGTCATTTTTCTATGCGAAAAAGAGGTACGAAAATTTGATTTCCTCAAAATAAAGATTGGTTGCGCTCGTCTATCGACATATCAATTTTGTCTGGATTTAGGGCCTATCTGATTTTTTTTCGAACTTTTAACTAAACCTTGAGCAAGGAGTGATTGTATTGACAAAGAACTTCAGTCTCAGTCGTGACACCACCCCACTAAGATATGCCAAGAACATTTACTGTGTAGCAATCATTCTTTTAAACTCTTACACAAATATCACAAAATCGACTTTACCAAAACATGCCATAGCCCAAGTAAGCTCAACACCTGTGCTATTATTTTATTTGTTCATTTGGGAAGATTCTTCTCTAAACAATGGACGTAAACAAAATGGAATTTGTAAAATTAGGCTACTCATTCTTTATATTTAAACAGTTTGGCACAGAGAATCCCGTTGAACCTTTTCATAGCAGCATGGCATGCCCCCAATATGAGGGAACTGTCTCTGTTCAGGAGCGGTTTCCATAGATATTCCTCTGTCATGTGGACCACTTCCTCCCCTTCACCCGTTGCTTTTTTCCTCAGCATAATCGACACTAATGAAGGCAAAGTAAAGCTACGGCTTCCCAGGGTAAATTTTACGCACATATCCACGTACATTTCATTTTCTCCATGAACGGTCTGAAATTTCTCTACTGTCTGTGTTGCTGAGCTAGCTTTCAGCGATTTCTTCATGATCGGAATCACGCAAGACAACTCGCGTTTCCCGTAAAACTTCACGACGGGGTCCTCAAATATGACGTCATCACTGACATGTTTCAAGCTGTCAACAGTGGCGGTGGCGGCGTAAACTTCCTGTATGCCTTTGAGAAGTCCTTCTCTATTTTTCACCACTGTCTCTCTCTCACTCTCGCTGACATCCCAATTAGGCGCAGGCATGGCCTTCTTCGGGGCATATCTGAGGTGATACAGGAGATGTGACGTCACACCTGTAAAAGCGAGGATTGGTGTCCCAATTAATAGGCTTACGACTTTCATGTTGCCTGATAGTAATATAATATAATGTAATAAAATAATTTGTATACTGCTCACAGCGTTGTCTTCATTGTGTTACATAGATCCCTATAAGTTGTTCACATTGGCGTTGACACCAGATAAACATGGGTTAAAACGCCCGCACGTCCTTGTTTTTTGAGATCCTTTTAGATCTGTGCAAAAGGACGATCCATTTATGTTCCAAGACGTTGAAGTTCAGGTATATGTCTGTGTATGTCTAATTTGTCTTCCGAGTCCAGGTATATGTCTGTAATATTATATCCCCCACGAATACTGCGTTGAAAATCCTCTACGCGCATGTGTTTATGTAGCGTCTTAAACTGGCTGAATCTGTCCTTTAATGCACCTATTTTTATTCACGCTTTATTCACGCTCTACATATTCGAGGTCACGGGGTTCTTTTCGCCTGCCTGCATCACGTGTCATAGTGTCGTTATGTTACAGATATTTTATGTTTCCTCATTGCAGCGGAACTAATAGATAACAAGACTTGCTTTATACGTGTATATATGCCCCAATCTCAAAATATAATACATATAATATTATCATAAAATTATCCGACATTGCTTCTTGGTGTACGCTATTTTGAAACGAGTCAGTATTCTACATGAAGAAGAGTTTTATCTTTTTACATAAGTAGGCCTACCTTACATGTTGAACACCTTTTCTTGTCACCTCAAACAAAAACAAAACAAAAAAAAAAAAAAGACGAAAGATGGAAAGGCGACACAGGAAATTGCTTCTTAATCAATTCGTCTCATAATATACGAAAAACTTCGAGACATAATTACGTATGTTTCCTTTCCTCTTGACAAGGGTACAAATATTCCCTTATGGCATGCGCCCCCAGTCACGTGCGGAGATGAGCTGATCTTTTTAAACAGCGAGCATAAACTGCATATAGAATCGGTTGAAAAAGGGCCATAAATTAGTTAATTAGTTAATTAATGTTATTCATTATTTTAAAGTTAAACAATCTCAACCTTTTCACAATACGTGCATGCGTGAATCTCGCAAAAGAAACAGATTGTGACGTCACTGACCCTTGCCGGCGTTGCCTAGAAACGTAAAAGCGATCTCAGACATACTGCGGTGCAGGCGAAAAGTGCAGAGATTTTTTTGTTTTACTAAAACATAGCAGAAATGATAATAACATCACACATTGCCTTTTTAGGCATGAAATACATTTACAACTATATCTTTCACAGAGAAACGTTTGAACTAGAATCCGAGGTAAGTTAAGGAATAAAAAGGGAGAGTCAACCGGTCGGTGTTGCACAAATCCGTGTAAGAATCTTTGCCAGGATGAGTTCTTTCATTGTCAGCTTCTTGCTGACAATAAGCAAAATTTTATTTGCATTATTGCACTGTGGAATTAATTTACACGTACAGTGTAAAATGATTTAGTCTTCAAACAAAAATAATCGAGAATAAATAATGTAAAAAAATGAAACTGCCAGTAAGTTTTAATAAATTTAAACTGACTCAAAGAGATTTTATTTCAGTGTTTCGAATTTCAGAAGTATGATTAATGATTAATTATCTTTTAAATGATATAAAGGTTCGGGCTCTTTTCCAAAAGGAAGACACGATGCTTCCGATCTTAGGACGCGGAGGAATCGGCACAGTGTACAAGGTATTGTGATGTTGATAAAAGTTATGCTCCGGTAGTAGTAACAGAGGCATAAGAAGGATGAGTAATACTTGCAGTAATGGCAGTTTTAATTGTGTCAGCAGTAATGGTTATAGTTACAGCAAGCATTTAGTCCCATAGGCAGAGGGAATTTTCGTTTAAGGCACATAGCATACCTTGTAATTTTAACACTTTTCCATTAGTCACCAATGTATACTGTTTTCAGAATTACAATCCATACCCCCCCCCCCCCTTTTTCAGTTTATTCTTATTTTGGGTCACTCTCCTAATGGAGATGGAGGCTGATAAATTTCACTTGCAAGGGTAAAAATACAAATGCAGAGCTCGAGAATGGGCTTAAAGATGGTAACCGAGTGATTTTTTTATACAGGGCATACTTTACTGATCAAGGGGAAATTCCAGGAAAGCTCTTTTTTGCTATGTAAGAGACAATTGCCCAATGTTTGCATTAAAATAAATTTATGACACCCCATTTAACATTGGAAATATTTCATATTTAGCTTAGAAACAACCTGGCTATTAAAGTGCCAAAATGCATGGAGTACGGTTACCTAATCCAGGAAGAAGTTACCTTTATGAAGCTGGCCAACAGCGACTATATTTTGGGGTATTTTAACAGTTATATGATATAATTCAAGAATTAATTGATTTGGATTTTTTACACGTTTGCAAACTTTGTAAAATAGTTTTTGATATTTTCGATGCGAATCTTAAGATATTTGATGCGAGTTGACGTAATGTGGTTGAGAGTTGGTACGAACCTTTAAAATCAGATCACAAAGAACCATAGAGTAACAATTTCAATTTGTTAAAATATTTGGTTCCAGGTTTTTCCACTCTTTTGATGTGAACCCAGGTTTTCCGGTCTTGATTTCTGAATTTTGCCCTATGGATCTTGATGCACTACAAGACCACTGCGAAAGAAATTTGTAAGTCGCTTTTTCTTTTTTTAATAACGCAGTTTTCTTTCATATTCTTCTACTGTGTTTTAGTTTTCTCTTTTTTTGTGGCTAAGATATTTACCTTTTATTGTTCTAAGATTTAATGCAATTTTTCCGAAAATTGACAAAAATACAAATTACTTACATATTTGTTTTAATCCCCTTTTTAGTAACGCAGTTCCTCCTCGTATTGTAAAATTTATTGCCACATTCGTGTGTATGGCGATTGACCATTTACACCGACTGAATATGGCACATTTTGACCTCAAAACTAGTAATGTTTTGATCAGTCTGCAAGGGATACCCAAACTGGTGAGATGTTTACTGGCAATGTTTTGGTTTGATAAAGCTCAAGTATGAAAAATTACAGACGTTATTTGGTTATTTTATTATATCTTTTTTCTATCTCTATATCTCCACGTCATAGATCACATTTTTTAGTTAATTTGCTCTTTGATCAAACCAAGACCGATAGAACTTGTTACTCAATTTTCCTAGACTGAAAAAAGAAGGCTAATTTTTTTCATTTATCTTTTTCATTCGTTTAAAGACATTAATTGATTTCTTTCTAACAGTGTGACCTTGGATCGGCTCACCCGTTGACCGAGGATGGAGAAAGCATTTGGGGGCCCAGATCAGTGAATTTTACCCTCCTTAAAAACTTGACCCCTGAGGTGCTAGCTGGCACCTCCGCCTCTTGGAGAGTAGATTATTATGCTCTGGGTGTTATGTTGTTTGAATTACTCGAGGGGAGGTAAGAAAGGGATATGTATAAAGTAAGCATGATCCAGAAACGTATTTAAATCAAAGAAAGAAACAACGGGCCGAAATTACTCCCGTTGACTACAAGTTAACTGAACAAGAAATTAGAGTATATGCAATCCTTTTTTTTTAATAAAGCTTTTCATTTTGAGGAAATGTGCTTAATTTTTAAAATAGGAATTATTCCGCCTAAATTCCTATTGGAATGTTGCATATCAGTGATTGCCTATCACAATGATGATTGCTAATAGCATTCCTTCGATCTATTCAGACATCCTCTGTGGATTGAAGTTCCTAGCATTCGTGAAGCCACTCGAAAAATCATCCATGGCACCATTATCTACACAGATACGGATTATGACTTCAGGGACCTTATTGACAACCTGGTCTGGTATGCATTTCGTAATTATGACTGATGATTATTTTTGTTATGTTAATTTATATATCTATCTATATATTACTGAAATACCTTATAAGTTATATATCAATCCAGTATACGCACCGTTCTGTTTAATGTTTATTATATTTAGTCATTTAAATCATAAATCATACTTTTCTTAATTCAATTTCAGTGACTTAGATCAAAGATTGGAGAGCATTGAAGATATATTTAATCATGAGTAAGAATCATTAATTTTTTTTTTCACTCAAACATTTATGAGAGCTTCTTTATCATGCGCCAATCATTCTAATACGTATCAATTACTTCTTGCTTATTTTAAACTTAAATCTTTCAAATCTTTTTTAATACTTTCATTTCATTCTTTCATTTATTTATTTATTTACTTGCTGAAGTTGGCTTTCTGACTACTACGTCAATGACTTTCCAGCCGACTCGGTCATTTCTCCCATTTTCAACATCGCTCAGGTATGGGGGTCAGTTGAACAGAATAAATCTGCTTTTATACGGCTTAAAGCAGAGTACAATATTTTACACTGTAAATACAAAAGCAAATTAAATGAGATTGACCTTGGGCAGCCACAATCTATTAATATTAGTAGAAAAAATAACGAAATGTCAACGGCACGGAATGTGACGGACAAAAAATTACACTGTGGAACACCAGATGCACTGTTGTTATTACATATTTGAATACTGTCCTCTTTCTAACTTATTATTTTCTGATAACTAAATAGTCATTATCATATTTTTTGTCTGAATAGGAAGTTATGGCCAACAATGAGTTAGGCTTTAGACCGTGATCATAAGACATACCGCAAATAGAAAATAGAATTTAGAAAATAGACATTGCATGTGAACGAAGCCTTAGTGTCGGCACCTCATAAACGCACGCAGCAGCGTACACAATGCTGTCGACTCCGAGTTGGCGAACATTTTGGCCTTTTACAACGAAGCCAGCGATGGTTAGGAAACTGCAGTCATCTGACAAATTTGTTCATTTTTACTTATTTTTCGACAGTATTTGTCAAATACCTCATATATTTATGTAAACAGTTATGATACAGAATATCCCCATTTTTATCAGCAGTATACAGGGGCCTTCAGCTAACGTCTTCACAACTTAAAGTCGGTGATATCAAGTAATATCTTATTTCCCGCGTTTTATCTGTATTAAATGGAATTTGAGAAAAAACAAATAATCAGAGATACAAAAGTCACTGTAAATAATTTATTTATTTATTTGTAGCAAAATAAATGTTTATATAATTTCCTTTTAAATTTCTTCTTGCGTCGTTTCTCTGTCAACTCTTAACATTAAAATTTCCACCTATATCTATTTATATTAAATAAGTGACAATTAAATAGTAACACTGTTACTTTAACGTCTAATAATAATGCTATTGACATGACTGTTCTAAAATGTCACCCACAAGCATCCTAAGTCTGTCAAGCACATTTTCGAGCCACACCGTCGCAACTAGCACAATCTCCTCCAACACAATCGAAGGCAACAACTCAACACAACGTAGGCCTACGTGCAGCACAGTTCTACCTAGTTCAGACAATTGTAAGTTGATGTCTGTCTATGGCTTTATATGATGCGACCCTTTTCGTCTCCTTTTATGACGTCCATGTCTTCTTTAAAAAGTCCATTAAATTTGGTTTGTTGGCCTTGTACCCTTCCCTTTCATACAGTATAGTAACCGTTGACAAGCCCGGACGAAATCCTAAACTATTTCAATTGCATTGTGCTCTAGAAAAAATGTGATTTTTCTAGTAAGTTAGGGAAAGAAATTGCTTTGGCAACGAGCACACTGTATATTGGGTTTTCCAGAATGATTATTTAAAAAATTATGGTGATATAATAGATCACAAAAGCGTTCTGCACTACTTACATACAGTGAATCATTGTTTCCCTTTAAATAATGCAGATGAAATTTTGGGAAAAAAGCATTTGCTTTTTCTCAGAACAAATACTGCATTTTCCAGAAGAAGGATGGTGACATAGATGATAGGAAGGTACAAAATTTTATTTAATATTTTATATCATTTTATGAGTATCTCTGCTTTCAGGTTAATGCAATGACAACAGATGATTTGAAACAAGAACTGGCCCGAATCGAGATCAAACATTTTAAAGGAAACACAATTTCTAGGTTACGAAATTTTTGTCTGGACTAATATTAATATTTGTGGTGTTTCAAGACTGATTATCTCTTAACCAAAGAATATATTTCCATTTGTTTTTAGTTTTACTAATCTTCCAAATTTTATATATATTATGGATAGTTCTGTGATCGGCTACACATGCTAAGAACATGCAAGTCAAATTTGTCACTTCATGAAGAATTTATTTTAATATTTTCTTTAACTGATACATGTACATCAGACATACAATTCATATATCTCATGGGAGTTAACCATTTTCATTTAAGAACTATGATACAAAAAGTTATTTACAAACAAATGAAAGACAACAAACAGTTGTTGTTTTTACCTATAAATGACCATTTGTAGAATGGTCTGCTAGCTTTGGCATGATTTGAAATTGTACATTTCATAACACGTGCACAGCACCGTGTAAATTTCATATCCATCTCAGTTTGTAGGTCAAACTATTCTGTGGGACAGACGGCAGTGACAAAGTGTTTGTCTGTGTGTTAAGACTAGTAAAGTTACTGCAATTTTTTCACCTGTAAGGACACAAAAAATTTGTAAAAAAAAAAATCTGCCATTAAAATAACTCCACAGAAAGATTCCACTTCTAGTTTTCACAAAATGATGATGACAAGAACATAAGGATAATATGCTACACATAAAATTACCCATTAAATAGTCTTCCCACATTTTAATGAGTCTGACCTGTATTAAAAGAAGTTAAACATTTAAATACTTTTTTTACCTGTGAGTACATGGTTAAATCTATCGAAAAAATTGTGCTCACTTATTTATGAGCACAGTCAGTTAACTTTACTCTTGTTAGTTGAAATAAAAAATAAAATGCTTAATATCACATGTGACTGTGAAAACAAGCATAAAAAGAACTTAGCACCTTGTAGTTAAAGGTTAAATAACATTAATAGTTAGATACATAAATTAAAAGGTCACAGTGACCTTCATCAAAACTTAAATGAGGTATCATATGTTAATACAATGCAACATAATATCAAGATGCTTGGTTGAGAAGAGGAGGTAAATACGACAAAAAACATGATTGGCTAGCTGCCCTATTTTAAAGTAATTTGTTGAAGTACTAATACACCCTGTTGCACCAAAGAAGACAGCTTACATGAAGTCATTGCTACTTAGTTGCTGCTCCATGTAAGCATGCATTAGTCCCGAATTCCATCCAAATTTTATTGGCAATCCTTTCTGACAGGGATTGTTCTCATTGCAAGTTTTTTTATGAGATTGCTCACATGAACTGTATCTTTTATCAATAAATATAATAATCCTTGGCTCTTTCTACACTGTAATATTGAAGTCATACAGTGGACTGAGTCCAAATGCATCTTTTGAGGTTGTAACTTCAGCAGTTTTGGCAACGAGTGATATTCATTATATGGAACAACAGAGGCCTCACAAAAACCTTTGGTTCTTCCATTGGACAGTGGGGGGTGGGGGTGAAATTTATGAAAATTTGCTACCAGAAACACTTATTGAATCATCTTCAGTTCCTCAGCACAGTGATAATAGCTGACAACTTATCACGTACTAGTCCTCAACCAGAACTAATGTAATAGAACCATGGTGATAAAACACCCTCACAATCAGGTAGAAACTACATATTACTTCAAACAAGAATAGTGACAACAACAAAAGTACACCTCTCGCCACTGCAACATAACATCCTGTGGCATTATACAAAACAGTTTACAAAAATAAGTTCTTCTGATATATTATATATGTATGTGTGATTAAATAAAGCATTTTTGCTTTTTGTTTAACAGGTTGATTGAATACACCAACTTACACTACATGCTTAAATGACATGGTATACTGGGTAAAATATCAATGATGAGAAATCATAATGTTGTATCCATTATCCCCTGCACTGTAATAATACAGGGTTATAACAAGGATATTGTATAGAATATGGATAGCTATTTTCTATCTCTAATGCTGTCCTCAAAAGTGTAAAATAGCAAGTCTTTTTCTTCTCAGAGGAGAAACTGGTTGCCATGTCTATTCATTCAGCCCTTGCCTTAACTGCAGCACTCTCAAAGTGAACCTAACTGCCGAACAGCTACATTTATCAGTCCGCGGATGACCAATGGCTTGGACAGAAGTCAAGTTCATTGGTCTTATCGAGACTGGTCAATACCTTTTAACTACATAGATAGACTCAGCAAAAAAAGCTGGGGTCATTTGGTCATCTATTCTAACAGATGGACCATTCATGCTATACTAACCCATGCTATTCTATGTTATTGCACAGCCATTAGGTATTTTTATTCCCTCGGTGGTGCTCAGTAAAATGACATTAAAAGAGTTTAGTCTAATCTCACATAGACCTGAAAATGTGGCTTAAATTATACATTCTGTTTGGGTACTGTCAAATTCTAGTTAGCAGGTTCACAATAGGCATGTCCAGTGTAGAGTTTGTGCCTTACTATCTCTCAGTGTCTCAAAGAATGTTATAAATTCTTTGCCATCCATGACCATGTACATGAGGCTTACTCCAGTTATGTTTTGCTCTTCACTTACATTTGTTTCCTTACATGTTGATGTAATGATGTGATCATCTTGAAAGGAATTGCTTCTTTCTGTTCACAGGCTCGGATTTTCTTTCAACCCAGTTAAATTAGAACACCATATTGCAAAGATACCTTCTTTTGGCAAAATGTTACCTCGTCTTTCCTTTCTGTAAAGTGCCACCATTTTTTGTGCTATTCTCCCTGTCACCATTTTCTGTTCTCACTGCTGCTTATATCACCACTTTCTATGTTCTCCTTTAAATATGTCATCAAATTTTCTCCTGTCCGTTACACTGTAAATGTTGTGTACTATAACTTGGTTTCTGGTCCATCCGACACATTCTGTTTGAAAGAGTCTCTTATTCTGGAGATGTAGCTGGCACAGATGTGACCATAGGCCTTGTTGTACCACTCGGGAGACCTTCCCCTGAAAGACAAAAATACAAGATCTTAAATCAAGGTATATTATCTGCATTAAATCCCTCTAAGTGATATTTCCGATGTTATCACATCCTGTTAATTAAAACACACACGCACACACATGCATGCACGCACATACACATGCAAATTAAGAACTGCTACAGAGATACTTGAAAAAACGTAATATCTTCCTTTCTAAAGTGGCTAAGTCAAAAACACACATCAGGCCACAGTGTGTATTGTCCACCTACCTCATGTCCACTCTGGCCAAATGGGTCAGCCTGGACTTTCCTGACCCACAGGGTTCCAGCAGATACCTGGACGCTAGGACCACAGCACGCACTCCACCCAGCAGGTTAGAATTGGGATGCTCTATGGAGGTCGAGACCAGCACACACGCACCTTTTGGGAGGTCTGTACGCCATGACCTGGAGACAACAGTAATGATGTTAGTAAATTATTAATATAAAATGGATGTTATTTTGATAAAATAAGAAAATTACTACTCAAACATTCATAGTCAAAAAGATATGTATGCTTTAAAATTCTTCATCCTCCTTCAAATAATTATGTTTCCATTCATTCATCAAAACTAAATATTAGACTTACATAAATGCAATGTCACAGAGCACAGAAAGTGATGTCATAAGCAACATCACATGAATATTTAACAGTACACTTAAATTCATCAACTCTTTGATTTTACATTAATTTTTTGAGAATTCATTTTTAAAGACATACCTCAATTCACAGAAGTCTCTTGTAGGATGAGGTGCCATGCTATTACGAACATACTGGAATATCTCCGTCTCCTTGTCCAACTTCTCAATGATTCTCCATTTCAATAAGTCATCATCCCATAGATGGCGCTCTCGTAGCACCCTGTTCAACACCTCAATAGGGGGAGCTTCTACATCCACTGCAGCCTTGAACAGTCTGAGTGGGTGACCGTCACCGACTTTTTTGTAAGCCACCTCAACACTTTCATTGGTGGTCATCACTTCCCAACCCTTAAATTTGTCTCGAGACTCCTGAAAAAAAAAAAGGAAAATCCAACATCCAACCACAGTTGTTCACAGTAAGAGTTCAATAGCCTTATTGTTTGTCTTAAATTGCATGCTTCAGTTTTTTTTTTCTTATTATATCACCACAATGACATGAAAATTGATTAAACAAAGAAAAACCTTGACTTCACAAAACCATGCTTTAAGGTTTTGGAACAGCATCGCGTGCTGTTGTCTTTGGCCTACAAAACCTTGCTTATAATGTGTTCCATACTTTGCAAAAATAATTTGCTTATTAGGAAATTCAAGTAAAGGACATTTTGTTATTTTCCAAATTTGTGATCAATCTGGATCTGTTATTTTATTTAGGTAGAAGTAAGACAATTAATCAATGACTATGTCTCACAAGATAGCTAGAATGCAACTTTGTAGAAAGGACCAATAAATAATTTACATTAACAAGCAATAACTTTCCTCTGCATTTTCATGCAAGTCACTAAAAAACAATATACCACAAATTAGTACCCAATTTGGACTTACTCTGATTTGCTTTTTTTCGTATGTGAAATTATATCATTCGTAGGCAGCAAAGAACATGATATCTACAAGTAATTACATCAGTGAAAAATGGCCTTTTCTCCACATTTTTAATTCAAGCCACTTAAAAACTTTATACTGCAACCTAAAACCCATCTATAAACCAGTGAACCAGTGACATCAATTGGTTTACTGGGAGCCTGAGTTAGACCACTGTGAATGCGCCCACGACTTACCCTAAGTAAACCCTGAATACAGGAGTCTATATAAGTGGTATGGTTAGAGAAGCCTTTGGTCAGCTCATTGAGAGTCACTGGGTCCCCCTGTTCCATGTAGGAAAAATTGCACTTCATCATGGTATCTTCTTCTATCTAGAACGTTTAAAATAATTATGTGCATAAAATTTTATTTATTTTTCATGATTCAAGTTGGTTGTACACAATGCAAGATGAGGTCGTACTGTTGCATTAATTGTATGTTTCAATTTGCTCTCTTCAATATGAACTTGAACAGTCATATGTGCTCATTATCTTAATGCATGTGTTATTATATGTGACAAACAAAGAGATTAGCTGCATTCCCAACAGCAGTCTACCTAGCCCACAGATCAAATATGCTTGCTGTGTAATCCCCATGGGGAATCTATTCCGCGTCAATGCCACTTTAGCTGTCAAGCTTTTAAGTGGGTTGCCATATTTGATCCATGGACTAGTTGATCCATGGACTCTGTTGTGAATGCAGCTATTGATGAACAGAAATCTTCATAATACTCACTGTGAAAACTTTCTTGCAGGACATAATCATTTGTGTTAGACACTCGTGAGCTGCCTTCTGTTCTAATAGTTCTTTCTGGTCTGGAACTCCCAGGTTCTTCTGTTGCCTCTTGGGGCTTGCTGTCTGGTTGCTACGGGGGCCACACATGTGAAACAAAGAGGGGGCAAAGCAGACAGCAAGATTGCTGGCAGTCATCTGAAGTAAAAAATGAAGAATCATTTTAAAGGCACAGTACTGATTATAAGCTCACAGTCCCAAACAAGAAACCCCTCATTTTTTTTATGTAACCAATTTCATGAAATATTCAAAACATGATGATTTTGCTTACACTTAAAATCTCTCACTAATCCCTCTTTTTATATTGTACTGTGATGCACTCTTTTGCTTGTTTGCTGAAAGAGGTATATCAGACATACTCAGGTGAATTCAAAAATTCCAAATAACATCTGCAAATTCCATCAGATGACCTTTACTTATCACACTATAGTAAACATGTTAGTGAAAGAAAACAACTTAACTGCCTTGAAAAAGAAAAGAGTAGTTTTCTTATTTTTTTTTCCTCCATGTTTACTCATTACCACAAACTAAAGATGCTTTTTTCCCCCCTCATGACCTGATAGTTTTCATTTTTGCACTGCCTGTGATGATGAAACTCGTGAATCATGTTTTTTATACCTCAGCTTTTTTTAAAAATTATCATGCCTCGTCTAGAGCAAGTTTAAGGCCACTCTACTTAAGGACAAGCCCCTCACATAACTAATTTTTTCTGTGAATGTAAATGAAAAATATTAACCTTCTGGCTGATTAAAAAAGTGAACTGGTATCCAGTAATTATTCACTCAGATGGAAAATGTCACATAACTGTGTAATGAGGCATAATGAGGGATAACATATATTTTTCCCGTTTTTTAAATTTTTATTTATTTTTTCAAGAAATATAAGCATAACTTAGCAAATGCCTTGATGCAATGGTAATATCCTGAAGTGCTTACATCTTTGGCAGTGTACAAAAACCAAATAAAGAAGGCAGCAAATGACCTGCAAATCCCTAAAAACACTATACCTGATTTTCCTCGGAATGTTCTGCCATGTCGCTAAGGAATAAAAGAAGAGACTGCAGGACTTCTCTGTTTTCATCAGGCATCAAAATCACCGCCGCTTGAACCGCTTCCATGCGCAGCTCACTGGGAACATCTGAGAGGAGACAAATTGGTATTATGTACTGACATTTGATGCAACACAGATTTTGTCATTGATGAATGATGTATAAATAAAAAAAATTACTAATACTCAAACTACTATTACTACTACAACTACTACTTCAACAATAAAGATCGCCTACAATGTACCAGCTGTTGGAAATAATACTCAAATTATCCTTCTTTAAGTTACTAACACAGTGATAAAAAAATAATGCATAGAGAACTAGAATTAAAACTCCATGCTTGAAAAACAAATCATTTATCTCAATTTATCTTATGTTTTATATAATATTTTAGTATATTACCATGTTATAAATCATGATTCTGTGTGACATGATTCTATGTGAGAAAGCAAACAATTTTTGGTGGCTTAAACCCACTTACGTTGGAATATACTGATGAAGGTTTCAGAGAGTTTATTTGTGAGAAGGCATTCTGGCAGTTCACGGAAATACTGCTTCAGAAGGTCGGCTACATCATATGCCTGCAGAGCATCAAAATTAACCAGGTCTGGAAACAAGAAACAAATCCATATTCAACACAGAACCTATCTTCTACTTTTTTTTTCAAAGAAAAAAATTGGTCAAGATATCATATATGAAAATGCTGCAATTCTGCTGTTTATCTTATATGTATGTCACAGGGCTTAAAATCTAACAATATCATCACGACACAACATGAAACTAAGGGACACAAAACAATAGGGAAAGTACACTCCTCAGATAGCACCAGCAATCTCTAGTTGTGGCATAACATGCCTGTGGAATTAAAAATAAATCAGCACAAGCATCCTTTGACGTCAAAAGAAAAGTCAATACCATGCAACCAACTCAAGAAACATGAATGGCAGCAACATGATCGCTTGCTGATGCCATCTTATTTTACTTTTTAACCACAACACACAAGAAGACAGAATAAATTGCGACTGACTTCAAAACAATAATTGATTTTTTAGTCTTTTGAGCAAGTATTTTGGGTTAAAATGAAATATACACATTTTCTAAAACAATGATCATACTAATAACTAACATTTTACATGCTACAATAAACATATCCAGTACGAATGTAATAATGAGACAATGAAAAAAGAAGTTAATGACATTACCCGACAACCGAAAAAACAAACAAACATGCGACTCACTGAGTGTACCTAGGCTGGCCTCGATCTGATTTCTAAGTTTCTGGATCCGAGAGCGAACTCCCGACTTCCTGAAGATCCCTACAGCATCGGTGGCTGTCCTCCGCAAATGACGCATGGCGTAGAGTATGCACTGTGGCAATGGCTGCCCAGTTCTTTGTAGAATTAACAACAATGGCACACCAAAGACATTTTTGTCCTTGTAGTCTGGTGCCTTGAAACGTTTGATAAATTTTGGAATGACCCTGCAAAGATCAAATAAAATGCACCTGATTACTTTTTCACATTTCATGTGCCATTTTATCAAATGGAATTGAAATTAGGCAATACTCTGGTTTGGAATGTAGAACTGATATTGAAGAAATTAAGAAGGCCCCACGATAGTGAGCTTGGCAATGACTGTTAAACCAACAACATACAGAGGACTGTAGTGTTTTTTGGTCTTTATTGCCTTTTACAAATGAGTGATCCACAACACATGTAGCAGGCAAAGCAACACAGGCTATTGTCAACCCTGTAGGACCCAGTGAGAAAATGGCATTATCAAGCTTAAGACAATCATAATTTACTCACACTTAACTCAATTTTCATAGTTTTGAGCTGGGAGGGGGGGGGGAACCCTGTGTGAAGCTGAAAATTCTTAGCAGCCTTGGCAGATCAAAATTTTGACTTTCATCATTTCAAGAAACAGATCCTCAATATGGTAACAAGGTGAAATAAAAGTTGCTCAAGTCACCACAGTGACTCACCAGTTCCATCCAGTCCTGTTACTGGGTGAATACTTCTCCATGAATGCTGTCAGCTTGAGTAGAGATAGTTTTCGTAGCACCATAAGTTGTCCCGCAGACAGATTAGAGATTTGCAGGGAGCGACTGTTCAGACTGGGCCGATGTGACTTCTGGAAACTGTGCCAGCGGATCCTTGGTCTTCTCCTTTCATTACTGGAAATAAATAAATAAATAAATAAATAAATAAATAAATAAATAAATAATCAAAACTGGTTTCCTAAAAGATTTATTTGTCACAGTATGAAGGTTATGGAATTTTTATTTTTCATCTTAATGGCAATGATGAAGATGAATTAGTTATGTAATGTTTCTCAAAATTTCATTCAAAATCAGATAAATACGTGATAAGGTAAAACTGTTAATATCATGTTCAAAATCTTGTTTAATGCGTAGGCACAATGGACCAGAACAATGGTAGTATTAATTCTTAATTTAGCTTGAGCATCATCAACAAAATACACCTATATTGCATGTTCAAGAACCACAGTGGCAATAATGTTGAGGACTTTCCCATGATTTTTGCTCTATGTTAGTTCACAATATCCTGTTCTGAACTCCTTCATTCACTACACAAGATCCGCTTTCTTGAAATCATGCCAGCATAATGGGAAAAGCGTGATTTTATTCTTAAAAGAACTCCAATTCTTATTACCTTCTCAACAAGCTGCTTAGGTATAAAATCTATGAATAGAATACTCGTGCTAAGACGTGGGTGAGACGTTGATGACCACAGCATGTTTATGTCATGCTGGGAAGAAATGACAAAACCACAATCATGAACAGTACATTACATGTTAAGCTCTGTGAAGAGAATTTTTATGTTTCAATAGGTAGAGCTTCCATAGAAAGGGTATGGAAATTTGCAGTGTGTATAGTGTTTTCCTTTTATTGTTTCTTTTCTTTTATTTTTTTCATGATTTTTAATGAAATCTTGTCATAGGGGCTGTGTGGCATATGAAAGGTAACATTATAAGCCTATGCCAAGGAACAATTCATATTTAGCAAGATAGAGATGGAAGAGGTCATTGTACTTAACATGTTGTCAGGTATTTAAGCTCCTTAGTCAGTTTAAGCTCCTTAGTCAGAGAGGGGGTTGAAATCATCTTCTTATAGAAAAATTAATGCATTATAATTCTGGATAAATAATGATAATAATAATAATAGTGTCATCACCACCCATCTCTATCAAGAATAGTCTGACCTTTGAACTTGCATTTTTCTCTTTGTGACCATATGCCTTCTAGGCAAAATATTTACTGCAAGCTTCAGAAATGCCATTTCTGTCTGTGCCAGAACTTTATTCTCAGACCAAGCAAACAGTTTACTAGAGCCCCCAGACATTGGGGGAGAGATGTGCTTATTTTACCAGGGACTCTCAAAGCACCAGTAAACTAAACTTTCCATCTTTACTCTCCACGGTTATATACACCTGTTTAAATTTTGATGAAGGCAGAGATTAACCTGGTTAAAAATATCCACCTTCCTTGGTTTACTGCATTTCTTTAAAATGTCTGTGTGCATATCGTTGAGGCATGCACGTGCTTATCATTGTTTAGGCATGCAGGCAATTTGTACTCGTGCCTTGAGTTTAAATTTTGAGTATGGGTATGGTTCACGTTTTACTTCTGCACGTGTCTCAGCGTCTGTTGTCTACACAGCTTAGTGTTCTAGTTGTAAATATGTCTTTAGTGTGCATTTTGGTAAGAATGGTCTCGGCCATTAGTACATCATGAAACCCAGTTCTTGATCTTAATTTGAAATGTAAGTCAAATGGCAGCTGTGTCAAAATATCAAACTTCTGAAGAAAACTAAGACAGTCTCTTCTTTTAGTTCATCTGTACATGCTTTTTAATGAAAAAAATTAATTTGACTCATTTCTCAGTCTAATGTTGAATTTTTATAGAAGTAAAACCATCCATTTGTTACAAACAAGTCATCAATAAAATAAAATAATAAATATCGCCTACCTTGGAGTTCTTGTCAAACTTGAACCGACCCCAGAATCTCTACGCTCCTGTAATAAAGGATTCTCTGTAACATCAGCATCTGATCCAGCGCTGTGTCCCTCCTGGTCACTAGTCTCATGAGTGGACGATGTCCCACTGACCACATCAGTGTCCACCTCCATTGTAATAAGCTCCTCAGCCAGGGGTGGGATGCTGTCCCCTCGGGGCTGGATGGGTGATGCAGGAGACTCGCACCTCCCTTCCATCGTGTCTGAAGATGCTGTAGATACGTCTCGGCTATCTTCCTCTTGGGACACTAAAGAAAATTTAAGAAAAAAAAAACAAAAACATAAAAGGTTGTGTTTGCTAATTGCAATTAAAAAAAAACTTCAGTATTTTACTTATCATGTGTTGGTTAGAAGGTGAAAACCGATCACTAATTTTCTTAACATTATTTCTCTCTCACATCAAGTTTTTGACAAAAAGTCAAAACCACCAAAATCATTCTTACAGATATAGACTATCAAACAGCAAGACAAGCCTAAAAAATACGAATCAATTCTCATTTAACACATTCACCCTGCCTGAGAGAAAAAAAAACCTGGTCTATGAAGTGATGCATTTACCTCCTATATTCCTCAGTACCTCTTAACAATTATGTAATTCACTTGGTGTTATTGAATCAAAATGAACAACCTTGCTTCAAAAGAAATAGCAGCTCTGAAACTCAACAGACAACTACTACTGGTTTTCATGCCTAGAATCTACCTGTTAGCAGCTGCCTTCCCCTATCAAGACTCAATGAAATGTTATGCTGCTCCTGATTGGATGAGAATGCACCAGTTAAAAATAACTTCAGATATTGGGGAATGAAATCCAACTTGATCTTCACTGAACTGGTTGGTTACTTAATTGAATGCGGATTGTGATATTTGATCAGATCCCTTATTGATCTCTTCTGATAACTGATTGTTGGCTTGTTAACTGGGCGCTTTTAATGATGTCAAATATAGGAACTAAATTAACATCCAGTCTGTCAGAATGCCCAACAATGTACAATTTTTTCTCTTCATTGTTGTTTAAAGTTGCCCTAGCTATAACCTGTCAACATCAAAACAGAATGATCTTTTTGATTGTTCATTAAAAATGCTCACGTGTCATGGACTTAAACTTTCTTTCAAGCATAGCTGCTATACTCTTTATCTTAATTAAAAGTCTATTGATTTAGTCATCACCTAAATCTAATTCTAAGGAATTGCGCCCTTCTTGATGCGACATTTCATATGTCCTCAGATAGCTGCAGACCAGACATTCCAAGAAATTACCATCACAATATTCATACTTAGCATTATCAGAGAGTTCATGACAAGGAGGCAGTTAATTTGACCATCTTTAAGGGCATTTTGTGTGCGGTTGCCATGACTTAATTTGCATCAGCAGACTATTCTGGGTGAAAATCATTTCTAAAAATATCCACTTTTTAATTATTTCCAAGTATTTCACATTATTTGCTGAATAACAATAAATTATTATCTTATATAGCATCACCAACCCCTATGGTTTCCACTTTTGAGTCTTTCCAAGTATTTCACATTATTTGCTGAATAACATCTTTCATAATTATCACCGTATCACCAATCTCTATGATAGACCGGATGCGTCTAAATTGAACAACAGGTTACCAAAATGTAGCCCCTAGCATAATTAAAGCAGGCTATTATCCTAAAAACTATACTGATTTTAACAAAGAGATTGCTATTTGAAGTGGGCAAGGCAGTGGGGTGAGGGTAAAGCAAAGTGCTTACTTACATCCTCTGCATACTGCGAACTTAGCTTCATCAAACTGACTGCATGAGGTGGACAATTGTGCATAATGACAGACCAATTTATTCATCCAATTACTCGCACTTCCAAGAAAAAATAATTTTCATGCCATAAAAGAATTTTTTGGTGTCTAGATAAAAAATGCTTAAAAAACTGGTACATAAAAAAAATATAAGCAAAAATATCATCAAGGTTGGTTGCACACAGTGAGAATGTTCTGTGCATTTACGTAATGTAGTTCTTGTTAAAAGAATTGCTTGAGAGAATATCTACTGCAATTCTGCATTTTCCCTACACATACTAATATACCAGAGCACCTACCACAATCTTCAAAAACAGAGATCATGCCAAATGACTTTCAATCCATTGGACCTCTCTTGCCATCTAATACTTGATCATAAATGCTGTACCTCACTTTACAGAAAAAAAACCCACACAAATATGAAATTCATCTGGACCTTTAAGCTTCCTTTTTTTTTTCTACCAACCTTTCTGTTGATTTTCACCTCTGGTTTCCCAGCTGACCAAACTGCTCATTCTTAAAGGCATTTTCCTTGCCAGCAAAACCAGTTGGTTAAAACCTTCGAATGAACTATAATGTCTGCACCTCAAAAGCAACAAAGTCCGTACTCGATCTGCACGAATCTGCCTTGTATTTGATTCAGAATGACAGTTCTTGGACTTATGAATAAATTCCAACTCACAACTGACCTTACCAAGTCTCCGGTTCAACATCATTTTTTGTCCAGGAAAAAGCATCCATTTACACCTGTACTCTCCAGGCTTAAACCAAAAAAGATGACGCAAGTGAAGTCATTTCCTTCAATCCTGTAGCTTTCATGCTAGGAAACCCACCTTTTCCAGGAACTTTGAAACCACTCTTCAAAACATTTGAACATGTTTCATAATCAGCTAATTTGTGTAGCTTTTTTGTATATTGATAAACAACATGTCTAGATCAAATAATTCTGACTGGGTATCCAATTCAACTTCCTTCACAAACAAGCATACCTTCCATGAAAACAACCAATAGCAAAAAAACTGCTGTCAGAATGTGAAATATTATGCCAAGTTTTCCTTTTCAATATCAAAAATGGGAGGATTTTCCAACCTTATTATTAGACATGGTATTTTTTCAAACAGTCATGGGTGTGAAGACATTGATTCTAGTACATACCAGTTTGAATTATTTTTAGCATATTTGCTACCGTAATTTGTCTCCACCAATCAATCTTATTCATCAAAACACTCTCATTTCAGCTATTTAGCACTGATTTTTAATAATCAACATTATTCTGTGATACTGGCTCTATAGAATATTGAGTGATAGGAGCAAAGAGCTGAATATTCTGAAGAGTCTGATAAAACAAAATACAACAACCCTGCTAATAACTCCTCTCACCTTAAATACAAATACTACCCAACTTACCTAATCCTGTCTCACTCAGACTTCTATTGAGTCCATTAATTTCATCAAACAAATTATTTAAGATCATGTCCAGTTCTTCTTGAGGTGTCAGTCCAGAGATGTTGTTAAAGTGTACATTATCATAGATGCTCATCCTACTGGCGTCAATTGTTTCTTCTCCCCCTCCTGCCTTTCTTCGCGAGGATTTATCCCTCATTACGGGAGAGGCGGTTAAATAGTTCTTGTTAAAGCTGCTGGAATCGGATGCACTCCCCATATCAGAGGGAAGGACTCCATTAGAGATTACTATGGGAAAGGTACCAGGTTTGTGATCGGCTGGAAGAATGTACATTTCTTCTGTCAGTGACACTCCAACATCGCTGTTGCTACGTCCATGCTGTGAACGTCGCTTTATGGGTTCGTGAATGCGTGGCATTGTGCTATATGCCTTTTCAAAGTCATTCGATGCCGATTCCTTATCAGCATACAACTGTGAACCAGAGTTAGCTCTTTTAACTGTAGATGTCGTGGCTGTTGCTGTATCTGTGGATATTGTTGTTACTGCTGTTGTATCATTGTCTTCGCTATCAGCTGAAGCAGTAGCAATGTCACCATTGCTAGTACTACTTTTTTGACTTTGCACCTCATTTAACTCTTGTATGGTGGTGGCATTTTTGGCCCGTAACAGAGGCGATGTATCACTGTCTGAAGAATCTTTGGGAGATGAAGCTCCCCCTAGTGGCAGGTGCTGGTTTAACAAGGGCGAACCTTCTGATGTTGGACTTATATCCACACAGCCAAGTCTTTGAATCCTTTCCTGTACTTCGGGTGAATCTATCAACACGGGTCCACTGATCTGTGCGCCATCTAGTGGCCGCCTACGTTTTTTAGTCTTCAAGGTACCCATCTTTTTATTCAAAAAGTTTCTTGCACCTTTGATTTTTTCACTTGCAGCTCTCCGCAGTCTTGGACTAAGACTCAAGGACGCACTGAGACTTGCTGATTGTTCCGTGTCACCATCTAATTTCTGTTGAGCACCATCCACAGATGTTTGCCTTTGAGTAGACAGTGTATTATATTTTTCAGGGTAATCCTTGGGTGCTGTAATGAATAAATCCAAGCGATCAAACTGATCGTGATTTTCCTTGTGGTGCAGAACTGGACTGTCACCTTGTTGACTATCATCATTGTCTGTCAACACACTGTCGTGACTGCTACATGAACCTATCATTTTCTTCAAAGTTCCATTATCTGATGGGTGTCGTTCTTCTGGCGATTGCAGTTCACCATCTTTTCTAGACCACCTTCGACTAGTTCTCTGATATTTCCACTTATCACTTAGAGCACACTGTTGTTCTTCGTCATCTGACTCGTCATGCTGAAGGTAAAATAAGACACAAATGAGATACAAAAACAATTTAGAAATGTAAAATTCAAAGTTAAATTCTTAAAAGCACCTATTGCACCAGTTTCATTTCTTTTTCACCCATACTTCTCTAAATCCTTCTCACCCAGTCTCTAGAAACCATAGACTAGTTCTTTGGTAAACAACTGTCAACTGAAATACCTTGCCACTGTTTACAACTTAAATATTACAGGTTATAGTGTCACTGAAAAGTTTTCACAACATTAGGGACCCCACAGGCCACGACTTAAGTGACACTAACTCTCACCTCTGAAATTCATATATTGAAATCAAAATTTCCATAGATTTCAATTCAGGGAATGTTTCTTTCAAGTCTTTACAACACCAAGTCAAAATGTGGAACTTCTCTTTCACTTCAAGTAAGGCTACTTCTAACAGTAACTTCCACCAAAATGTATCTTGGCTCGGCAAGCAGTTTCACCACCTCATTTACTCCCTTACGGCATGGCAGTTAACACACACGCGGTAAGCTTGTACCTTTGTAATGCATGAACCCACCCGCTGTAGCCAGCCAAACCCTCTGGGGCCGGATCATTGCATCTTTACAGCACTTTAATGGGAGGGATCAAATGTCATGGCGGTGTCTCAAATCACACCGGCCATTGTTTGTCCATAACTCTATCTTAATTTCCTTGTGGAGTGGAAGGGAGGTATGCCTTGAGTAAAGATTATTGCCTTACATAAACAAACCCGCTGAAAAGTGTGAAAATACCCGGCTGACCTTGCCCTTAGCTCCTGATTATCGCCACAATTAAACCGCTTCATAAGGGAGTTGTTTTTTAAACACAGATTGTGGCAGACATTGTCTGGATGTCAATGTTAACTGTTAGAAAAGAATCAGGGTCGCTCTCCGACAAAAGTTACACAAACTGCGCATATTTGGCGAACAATTAAAAAGGTTGAAGGAAAATAAACAACTAGGCAATAGGGCGCAGATATGTTTCCTCAGCTATGCAGCTTCTTTTGTGGAAAGAACGACCAACACGTCTTGCCAGCATTCTTTCAATACAATCACACCACACTATAGTTAATGAACCCTATGATGGCATTACACACTCCAAAGGGCATCCATAATTGGAGCCACATACCGCCAGCTATCAGAGGCAAAACTGACCAAACAACTGCTTTGATTTTCAAACTGACCCTTCCCTTTAACTTTATTTGAAATAGGCGATTCGTAAATATTTTGCAAAGACTAAGTTACAAGCAGAATTTGTTGCTTTTCACAGTGAGGTCTTTGTGTGAACGTGTCTCCAGTTTAAATCTTTTGTGCCTGTTTTCATTATTGGGCTCAGTCGTATAATTTGATGTAAAGTGACCATTTTCTGTTTGAAATTATCCGCTTTTGTTTCTTTAATTAGGTCGTGTTTGTCAACTTTAACGTTGTTATAACAAACAATTGCTAATGTGAATACCTGGTTAGCGACAGGTGTACAGACACATATTGTAGAGAAAACTGACCCAAAATGACACCCACTCGGGGTTCAAAACTACATTTTGGATATTAAAAAATTAAAGTGTCAGTTAAAACGAATTTCAAAAATTCTTTTTGGCTATAAGTAATGACATATTGGCTGGTCCTCAGGTATCTGTTTATTTTCTAAGATCTTTAACAATTCTGTGTGTTGGACAATTTTAAATCATAGTCTTGATGTTCAGTGGTTTTTAAGAAAATGTGACTCTTTACAAGTAAAATTGTGGCTTACTTGAAGACAGAAACAGTTTTCTAATCAATCAAATTATTTGTCTGGAGTAATTCTGTTTATACAGAACATAAAAAATAAATATTTTAAGAAAATTTTTTAAAATATCCAACACATTCAATATTTTCTTCATCATTTGTGACTGATGAATATCATATATTTTATATTTCTGTTCACCGAAAGCAGTGCTCAATAGTTAAACTACACTTTGCTTTAAAGTAAGAGCTAGTTAGACTACATTTATACAAATTTATTGTCAAATTTTAAACCCAGGAAAAACACAGCAAATGGGTAAAAATAAACTCCCTATAGTAAAGTTAAATACTGTTTTGGGTAAATCAGTGCTAAGCAGCGAAAACATATACCAGATTAATAATAAACTTACCCCTTCTGGTGAAAAACGACAGTTCTGCACTAAGTCTAAGGGTGCTTTCCCAGAGAATTAGATCGATCTAAAGATTAAGATTTAGATCGACCTAACTCCCTGGGGGTTCACACTAAATTGCAGTTAGCCGAGCGGCCACCATAGTTAATTACCCCCTTACAGCTTTTAGTAGGCGGGACAGACGCTTAAGCCGGCCAAGCTGACAGTAATCTAGTGAGACTCCCCACAGGGATAGATTGATCTAAAAATCTATGGAAATGGGGTGTAAATGTCAGATCAATATCCTTCTAGGGAAAGGAATGGTGGGAGTGGGGCTGCATTGGGATAGTTGTGCATCCTGTCACATCTGTCACATTCCAATCTCAACTTCCTCTGAACCCTAACAACACATCCAGTATGACACTGCTGAGAACATCTGAACAACAAAACATCTTTGACACTAATAATTTTTCATGTTTAACTAACATTCATGCAACATCATGATATTTTTCATGTTAAACCACCACTTGTGAGCGAATCACACTTTTGTGTGAGTAACAAGCATTTTTCACATTAACCTACACTCATAAAGTATCTTAACATTTTCCTAGTGAAAATATAAAGTTCCCAGGCATACTTCTAGTGATGTCTGAGAGTCATGAATCTAAGATTTTGTGAAGACATTTACTTTCAAGACTCATCTTAAACCAAGGTCCAAAAATAAAGGGGGGGGGGGGGAGAGAGAGACAGTCTGAGAGTGCCTTAGCTGGGGAAATGTCTGCTCTGAATTAAAACTTCACCTAGTTAATATGCCATTATGGTCTACCTCAGCATAATATTAAAACAAACAAATAACTAAAATAAAAGCATTGTAACTGATGGCTACAGGTCTGTACACCACACTCCTAAGATGATCCATGATCGAATACTTGTCCTTCACATCTATAACGGTGACCTCAATCTAAAATCAGGTACCAAGGAAAACTAGTGAAAATAATTACCTGATCTGTTCACTTACACTGCTTGGGGTTATATCAGCAGACTGGTATTTAGACACGTGTTAATTGTAGGTCAGACATACAGAGAAGTCAAATGGATAATGTGTGTGTGGTCAGTGGCCATGGTTTGTACCTCTCAGCCACTACTGGTCACATCCAGGGGGAAAATGAGGCTGTATTCAGAACAGAGGACTAACTAGACCAAGGATCAAATATGGCTGACCCACTTGAATACTTCCACATGGGGAATCTATTTTGGGTCTATTAGTGGATTACACGGCAAGCTTTTTAGTGGGTTGCCATATTTGACACTTGGACTAGTTAGTCCACTGTTCTGAATGGGGCCAAGGACTGTCCTACTGGTCAAAGAAAATGTGTTTGTGATGGACACTAATAAAAAACACTGGTCAGCCAAGTGCCAACTGAGAGTTTTGAATTCTTGACAGTGCATTGAAAGTTTGTCCTATTTCCCTGTGAATTTTCTTGTAGGTGGGAATATGGGGTGTGAGGGTAGAGGTGGAGTGGGTGGAAGAGTAAAAATTTAACAAGGTTAACTCTCTGCCCAGACAGAAAGTGCATTATATACAACCCACAGTCATAAGCAAAGGCAAGAGTTACTAACTGTTTACATTTCAGATGGTCACTGAACACAGGTCAAGGTAGACAACCAAAGGGTGCAATTTGGTCACTGCTGACCACTAATTGACCCATTGGAATGTCTACCTGACTATCAATTATATCAGTTATCTGACTGTCTATCACACTACCATAAACTGTGAATTTCCAAAATAGGCTCAGTCTTGCAAAATGTTGACTTAGTAGAATCTGACCCCATTCAATACTATTTTTTTAGGGGAAATACTTTATCATTATAAAAAAGGAACAATCTTTTAAAATTTTCTGCATTCTAAAAAAGATCTAGTTATAAGGTCTAGTTTTGTGCCTGGAGGGGCCTATTTTTAAGCATTACTCTGACACTAAAGAAGCCCTAAAACGGCTTCATAACAGCTGATAAAATCTATTTTGGCATGTCCCAGTAACTTATGTTATACTGACTTCAAACCTTCAAACCAAGTCAACCCAAATCTATTTTTCCTTATCACTTTTGAATATGATAATGCTACAATTCTTCTTTTCTTTGAGGTCTCAGAACAGTGACAGGTCACCAAGTTTAGAACGTCAACCTGATACTACTCAGAATCTCCCTGTTGCCATCCAAACAGTTGAAATAAAGTTATTTTTGTGCTAGAACTCTTATATAACCCAAACCTCACATTGTCAAATCTGAGAGAAAAAGAGAAACAAATACTCAAGCTTCTAATTTCATCAGACGCCTAAATCACTTGACAGAGAGATAAAATTTCATCTCGCACTGAACTTACCGTCTGCCGAGGTGGTGTTTCAATCTTCATACTGGCACATTTGTTCAGAATGTTTAATCGCCTGAAAGAAAAACAAAAGAACAGGGGTGAATTCAATTGCCCAATCTTCTTATACAAACATGTGTAGTTAACAGACTAGAAGGGTGCTTTCTCACTTTCAAAAGCAGAGTCATTTAAATATTATGACACAAGTAACGTGTACTTCTAAATAACCTACTCAAAAACAGTGCAAACTCCGTGGTATCTTTATTCCGAGTTTGCCTTCCATTCTCGTAGTCTCTCCTCAAACCTAATTTTCAAATTCTACCTATATCCCCATCCAGGGAATGGAATTTTACCTCAGAAATTCTGGTTATATTTATCTCTGCTTTGTTCAGGGACTGTATTCAGTTAACCTAGTTCTAAATCAATTGGAACAAATCTTCTAAACAAACCAGCCTGTATTGCAGCTTGTTCCCACCTTTTTTTTCACCAAATCAAATCACCGACTGCATGCTTCCTTTATTTACTGAATTCTAATGGAGGCGAGAGATAATAGATTACATCATTGGAACAGTATTGTGTATATTCAAACTGATGCTTTTTTTTTTCAACATATTCTAGGAAACATATCCCACACATATTTCTTACCTGCACCTAATTTCAAAATTTTCTTATCTACCTTCACCAAATAAAGACTGCATACACTTAACTTCTAAACCAAATTCCAATCCAATCCAAAAACTTGACTACATCTTGAACCATGACAAAACACTTAATGTTGTTGTTCATTACCAAGTCACTTACCATCTTAGGCGATTCAAACAGATTATTTTTAAAACGTATCAAATTAGCCAATATCTGAAGTATATTTTGGTCTTGCCAGTGTTTCCAGCACCTAGCCACCTTGCACCAAACCTTGTTGCCACCAGAGTCACCCTAGACTTAAATACTATGCATCATGTCTCTCAGTCCCATACATTCCCCAGAAGAGATCACAATCCAATGGCTTCTATCACTGTGTTCAATTTGGATTCAAAAACTCACTTACATCACTGAACGTAATTGGTCAACAAATAACTGTGACAGAGGTTTACAAGTACACAAACACAACCTCTGGGCATTATCTTAAATGTTATCAGCCCAAACAGTGAATTACTAATTGCTACCATGCTGCATCCACACACCTGGCCTTGGGGGGGGGGGGGGGGGGGGGGGGTATATAGTATTGATGCCCTGTCACTGGATAACAATGCACACAGGTAAAGTACAGGTGTGATATAATACTGAGGGAGTGGCATACCTGTCCAGGTAATCTAATAGCTTCTCTTTGATCATAGAAAGTGATTATGACTCCATTGATGTCACAACAGTCTCTGGGTTTACTGACAGATATCATAAAGAAGACACTGGTCATATTTGGTCAACAACACTATTATCTTCAACTGTCTTTGAGAATACAATACTTGGTAACCTGAAACCCTTTTCCATGGATATACACCAGGGATCAGCTTGAAAAACTTTGGCACAGATTCCACATAATTACCTAAGACTGAAAATTGGTCTCAAATTTTAAGACTTAAAAGTTTGGTCAACATTTATTCAGGATTAATTAAAAGGAGATATATTAAATAATTCAACTTTTGGTCTTATTATTAGCCAGCAGTCATGTCTTTCTTGTTACAAATCACTCCATCTCATTGAACAATTACTGATGTAGCTTCAGTCAAAGTAGACTTCAAATTTCATTCTCAAAGATTAGCCCAACTTTCACTGTAAAAAATCATTTTGTGAAAAAGGCCATTGTTTTCCTATTTCACGTGAGCTACTGAGCATAATCAATGAGAGGGAGGGTGGATTCTCCATACTGATAATATTACCTAACAGCTGTGGAAGGCATCATAATGTGCCAGGTACCATTGATGATGCCCTGTTTGATGTCTTATCAGATTGCAGTTTAATGTGAACCTTTAATCATTATGTATCTTTATGTAATGAATGGGAATCTCATGACAGTTAAGGGATATCTGACATGACTGACCATTGCTGTACAGTCAAGGCCAAATGAGATGTATATTGCAGACATTACAAATTGTAGTCCTATTTCTCACAAAAAAAAAAAACAAAAAAACATGCAAACTTGTAAAGGAAACTCACAGAACAATCAAGTATTGTTCTAAAATGCAAAGCATACAAGCCTTATGTTAACTCCAAATATTTTGGAAAAAAAGTCTTTAAATACTGCTCAATTTGATTTTCAATGTATTCTTTTATCAGCCATGTACCAGCAAAGTGTACTGTACAATTTATTGTGTCAGAAATATTTAGAGAACAGGTCAAACGCTAAGTTCTTGAACTGTTCTCTAAGGACTTCTAACCATTTTATGAATAGGCAGACCACAACTAAGCATACCTGAACAAAGACTGGATGGAATCTCGATCCAAAAAGTCGTGATCTTGCTCGGCAGAATCAACATCGATGGGAAACTGCAAATCTGAAGAACAAGAAGCAGAAACTGAACAACATGGAATCACAAATGCTTCTGTGTTAAGCAAGTAATATATGTTCCACTGGCTGGCTGCTGCAGTAGTTGTATTGCTCTGCTGACACCGGTTCAGTAATTTGCAGGCCAGACATCATGTGTTGGGTTGGTTCCTATACAGAGCTCATGTTACCAGGAGCCATACAATGGATCAACAGTTTGGCAGTCTGGAAGAGAAGTCGCAGGGAACTACTGGATATTACACAAAATACTGTGTGTGTGTGTGTGTGTGTGTGTGTGTGTGTGTGTGTGTGTGTGTGTGTGTGTGTGTGTGGAGGTAGGGAAGAATAATATAATATAATATAATATAATATAATATAATATAATATAATATAAGATCAAGACAGTTGCCCTGAATTGCTATGCTGATAAACAAAATGAAATACTACAAATAGACAACAGACATTTTATCCAATAATATTAGTTCTATAAACAAATAATATATATCAGTTTAACATATTCAAAACATAGTACATGACCCTCATTGTCACATTACTTAATCGATATAAGGAGTAACTCAGAATTTTCCAATTATTACCAACCAAAGAACAGTCTACATATACAGGTTGTAACATCACACAAAAAAATACCTAATTTCTCCAAGAGACACTGCTTTTCCATTTGAAAGAAAGCTAACTACCCTACCTCATACAGTAAAACACGACTTTACCATAAAAATCCAAGAAAGAGTAGGCAGTTACATTTTTTAAATCCTGCTGTAAGTGAATAGGAATCTGATCTTCCTAGAGCTTTTTTTTATATTCCAAGCCCACTACTTCCGGAGACAGAAGCCATTATGGATTAAGGAAAAAATTCACACTTAAGTAAAAGCGACTGTGTGTGGCTCCTTAGTACCCTTCTGTTTATGTTGTTTATTGATGCCTGTTTATTTTGGCTTGGGATGCACAAACATCTAACCTGCACCTCGTGGCAGCCTCTGGGTAAAAACCGTCTCAAAACCACCAGAGTCACCAAACTTGGCAAAATGGCTTCAGCCTGTAAAATGGTACTAATCTGTCTGGAATACTTGCTCAAAAATGGGGCTTATTTTATGAAACAACCCTCTGTTGTTTTTGTAGATCTAGAGGAAATTTTCTGCGGTTATGCACTCTTCAATCCCCCCCCCCCCAAAAAAAAAAAAAAAAAAAAAAAAAAAAAAGGAAACGAAAACTATTTGATTAAACAATAGACTACATACCCCATCTGGAATTGGATAAATCATAACCTCATGCTGTAGTGTAAATTTTCTTCTAAAACAAAAATGAATGATTTTGAGAGCAAAGCACAATTCCTGGTTATAATTATAATTACAAAAATTTCTTCCTCTTATAACTTTATCCATTCTCAAACAAAGGTGCCTAATTTGGAAAGCAGTAAAGTCCAATTCTTTTTAACAATCATTATAAAACTTTCTTCGTATCTTTCAGTGGCAATATCCGGTTTTTGAAAATAAAAATGCCTATCTACTAAGAAGAGGAAGACGACTCTTCCTGCAGTACTGAGCTCAGCTTCCTGTCAATTTACAACCCTAGAACTATATCTGGAAGTGAATATATACCAAATTTATATTTGGAAGAAAATTTGACGAAAAAATTGATTTGATATACCGAATTATATACCGCTTTTATAGTATCCATACACTGTCACTTTCTAGTAGCTGACATAGGAGAAATATACTGCTTTTATATTTTATGTGCACTGTCAGAAGAACATGCCATTGAAGTTAGGAACATTTGAAATACAGTTGGAATACAACTTGACTCAACTTGCCTTAATGTTAAAGGTGTGACTGTCTGCTATCCCAGTTCCATATGATATAAGATAACATGGCTAAATATAATAACTGTAATCCCAAATCAGCATTTATACCAATAAACTTCAGCAACAAACTCTCACAAACCACAACAAAAGGGCAGTCTGCAGTGTCCAAACTAACCAAACTGACCATTTAACTGCTCCAGGACTGTCCAGTCAGCTGTCAATCACGTGTTTGTAAATGACCAGCTGTCAAACTTCGTGACTGACCCCACGGCTACGGAACAATTTCTGACCACTGTTGTACACACACTACTGACCAACAGGGATTATATTTAGCAACCAAAGCTGTCAATTTACACTGATATTTCTATCACTGTTGATGAAACTTCGCACTCCATCCCTTAATCGGTTCTTAATCCCAGCCGTCCACCCAGATATACAAATATGTGAGCAGGCTGCAGTAACAGGGGTACATAGAAACCAATTATCTTGTTGAGAAATAAGAATCAACAATGTAAACTTGATAAATAGTTCACTTATACTGGATAATATTTGAATGTGAAGTAGCATGGATGTGGTGGTTGGATTGGAGGGGGGGGGGGTGTAGGTCTGCTGGGGCTGTTTGAAGAACCTGTGTAACTCTATTTTTAAAAACATTTTCTCAATTTTTAAGATTAAATACAAACAAATTAAATTTCTGTTTTCACTAAATTGTTTCAGTATTGACTTCTGCTATACTAATATTCAGCTTTTTTTTTTTTTTACTAAAATTAAGTGTGGGCAGGCATGTGTAGTTGATAGGAAGGATGTAAGAGGGTTCATGATACACACTAAATTTACACAGACAAAGCCTTTCTAAGACTTCCCTTTGTTTTGAAGAAAATGCACCCTAAGATCATCTAAATCTCACAAATCCTCAAATAAACTGTCTACACAAACACAAATAACATGTTAATTCTTCCCTTTTTATGTTATAGTTAAAACCAGGAACAAAGGGGATTTTCATTCCAAGTTGACAGAAGGGATATACGAGATGTTTGTTCTTTGAGTAACAAGTCAGACAGACATCAGATTCTGGAATTAAGATTTCATTAATTGAGGATTAAGATTTGGTAGTCCCTGGCACTGACTTGACACCCAACCATTTCTGTTGTTTATAAATACTTTACTTGTGTTACTCGAGGATATAAATAAATAAATGAACATATATATAAATAAACAAACAAACAAACACACAAATAAATAAATGGTAAGAGCAAAAAATATCAATTAAATAAAAAGTCAAAAATTTCTTTGGTAAATGCTACATTTTAAATTCCAGTGTTGAAAAGAATCAAGTGTTAAATGCGTAGTCAAAATATTTTATAGCAATCTGAACACAGATGGTTATATTATTAATGGTTTTGCTACAGTAACTCTAATTGTTCAATAAAAATGAACTTGAGTGAACAGTTATATGCATTATCTTAAAGTAAATATACATTTCAGTTTTTACACATTATGCTTCATTCTTCTTTCTCAAGACACAAACCAAATCTAAGGACTGTCACATTCAAACTGGTACATGTTTAGGGGCACTGATTAAATCATTCTATATTTTTGACATGTACTACCATTACCAACTTTTGAACACCAAATTATTACTCCAAAATTTTTTTAAGGTCTTACCTTCATACATCTGCGCATACTGTGGGAACCCGGCTGCCTTTAACCACCTACATGCCTCGACTGCTTCAATCTCTGGAAAATGCAAAAACAAACGAAAACTTAGAGCACACTAACAATGTTGTCTCACATTCAAAAAACTTCCAAATAGGAAGCAAGGCACACAGAGCAAACGTTTCACGGCCCGGCCACATTTTAACCCACCGGAGGGTCCCTTCAACCTCAACCCCTGTAAAATAAACACAATCTGTGTTAACTGTTTTGTTTTTTCACTGGTTAAAACAAGACAACTTCCAGGCATGCAGTGCACTGGGCTGCAGTGTGGGAAACGGGATCTTTTATAATACAGGAGTTCTTAGATAAGGGGAACTTAGATGAAACATTTCCTTCCATAACTGAAAAAGAATAGAAACAGGAGAATTTTATGACAAAATGAGCAAGAATTTTTTTTTTCACTGAATAAAAAAAAGATATTTAAGTAAGTCTAAATAAAGCCCTGCTGGGGATGAAAACTGTTTTGGATTGTGAAGATTTTTAAGACTTTGAAACTCTACTGTCAAAGTTTCCTCAAAATGGTTCCTAGACAAAGAAAACAAAATCCACTGGTAATGGTTTAAAGATGCAAAGAGACACTAATGGAACAAAAGAAGGACAAATACAGTTGAATACTCCATTACTGAAAATTAAACATAGGATGCACCAACAACATAAAAGCACTTAAGGTCTGACCTGTTTTGTTCTGTTCATGTTCTGATGTGTTTTCTAGTTGCTATCAAGACATCTTTGCACTCAGGCAGTGGTCACAAATATCTGCACTTAACTACAGCAAAGTTCAACTCAAATTCCATTTAAACCATTATTTTATCAAGTGCACTGAACTCCCATTTCTATTTCTATTTCTGTTTTGTTTCATTTGCATCCCTTTTCTTGACACAGAGCTCTCACACTGGAGTTTCAATTAATTTCATTGCTATTTCAATTTGAGTTTTGTCTCACTAACACCTCATTCCTCACCATTAAGATAATGCACATTTCTCACACATTCACATCATTCTACTTTTCAAAAATAACTATGACAGCAAATATCTTTTGACTACAGAAATGAAAAAATACACATGGTACTACAGGAGAGAGAGAGAGAGAGAGAGAGAGAGAGAGAGAGAGAGAGAGAGAGAGAGAGAGAGAATATCTCACTCCTCCATACTACAATCAAGACTGAGATTAAATGCTATCTTCCATGCCCATTACTCACTCAGTGACTCACTGCATCCTGCAGATATGGATAGGAAATATGCAGAAATTAAACCGATCAATCTTGTAATTGCCAATCAAAATCCAATAACTAGGTTGATCCCCATTCTGTGTTTCTTTGATCTCAAAGCAATCAAATTCTGGCCAATGTTAACCTATCCAAGCCAAATTTTGGGATGAAATTGCATGATAATGCCTCAACCATGCTTGTGAAAAATTTTGATATTCACTCAATTTGAATTTGACTTTTCTATGTTATATATAACCCAACAGCAGAAATTTATGCAAGCTTACACTTTTTATAAAATTGTACACATGGTCGCACACTCTTATGCACATGCACACGCGTGGCATTCTAAAAAACACAAGTCTTTAGTGTTACCACAACACAACAATACAAATGTATGACATCTATTGTTTCTCCAAAAGATATAAAAAACAACAGATTTAAGTCTGAAAAAAGCTGCAGAGTATCTAAAAATATTGACAATAATCTCTGAAAAGACATTAACTTATTCTGGCTCCTACAATCTGGTAACGGCATAATACAAACTACCCATCCCCTCCCTTGCTGCCCTCCCCCCGTCTACCACACTTCCTTCTTCTTCACTTAACAACTCTGCTTCAAGCCCCATCTTCCTCTCCCTCTTCCTGAATCTCAGCCTCTCTTCCCTGCCCCCTGGTCAGCCCACGGAGCCAAGCCGATAATTCATATCAGCAAATCTGTCAAACTTGTCATCAAAACTAGCCAGGTTTTGATATAAAAGTGATTTAAGCTCCAGAGAGCCGTTTACACACCCAGATTTTGATATAAAACTGATTTAAACACCCAGCCATGTCCACAACAAGAGGTCTTAACCTGTTATGATATCCTGATTTGAGTCAGGTTATAAATCTCTCTCATTTTATAATGGCCACATACTAACTAGTACTTAACTCATGAAAACAAACATTCAACTTGCCTTTAGAATCAGACTTGTTGTATTACCTCAGCTTTCTCTTCTTTGATATATTTACTGTTTGTCCGTCCATCTTAATGATCCAAAAAATAAAAATAAAACAATTTCTGCCACATTATCACAATGAAGACCACTCCCAAGGTAGTAAACTTGGTGCATCTACATTTTGACCATAAACTCACTTGATTTTCAGGCACTTTTTCCACTGCTTATAACATGGATGTAACATGTAGTAAATCCATACATTTTGAGAGAGAACCATACAATGCTTTCCACATTTCCCCCCTCTAATTTTCATCATACTCCCATGTACTCTGCTGCAAAAGGTTTAATGAACATCCACACTGCATATTATGTTCAAGTCACCCTAGGCATCTCCACTGCATGTTGCCATTAACATTCCACTCTGATCGTTAGGATTTGTAACTGTCTTAACTTAATGAATCACGTCTGGACATTGTCATCTCTCCCACAGGCACTTTCACACTAGGCCTCAGTGGATGGAATCTACTTCGATCCTACTGATACCAGTCTTAATTGCAATCAAGTCACAACCCACACAGCTCAAGTCCAAAGGCAGCTCCTACTGTTCCCAAAATGCCAAAAATGAATTTCAAGAATGTCAATTTCTGTGTAGGCCTGCCAATGGGAGGACATTTTTTTGACATCATTATGACCACACACTAACGGTCCACTGTGTGCTAGTGTGACTGCATCCACTGGGCACTAGCACTGCTTCATGTTCTTGCCTATCAGTCATTCTAGTCATGGAAGGAGGAGTGGGGTTTGTACAATATGGAAGGGTCCAGGTTCAGATGGATGCCTTGTCACATCAGGGACCAGGTGATGCACTGTACTATGCTCCTGCTAGTACCTTTGATTTGGTTGGCTATTTGTTTTTCTCTCTTTACAAGAGTACATCACACTTAGTGTGTTAATGTTTCTTTCGTAGAAAAAAATTAAGAGTTATTGCATGTACTAAGAGATCAGGGCAAACTTCTAAGTAAAATGATGATCGAAAGAGTTAGTGAATATATGCACAAGTGGGTAAATGGTTTTAAAAATAAATGAATGCATGAATGAACAAGAGAATGAATAAAAACAAATAAAATGATCAAGGAGTGAAGATACACAATTATTCCATATAAATTGCAATAAATCAATGACAAAAAAGTTCTCATTCATCACAGACATTCCTGAGTGTCACTGAGGATTGACAAAAACTTTAAGACAATGATTGAAATCTTTGTCAGCTTTCACCTTAAAGTGTTCTTTCTTCTCTTACATAAATTAAGCCAAATTGCTCACAAAGTTAACTGAGAGAGAGAGAGAGAGAGAGAGAGAGAGAGAGAGAGAGAGAGAGTGAGACTGACCGACCACATTAGGCCATTTGTCTTTGACCATCATGTACAGTTTATCAGATGTACAATTTTCTTTGCATGACAGCGCTCCATAAAGTTAACATCTGTTGGTTTTCATTACAGCGGACAATAAAAACAGTTATCATTTGATCTTCAAGCTGGAAGTCTTATCTTTTATTGATCAAATGTTGTTTGTTGAAAGACCAGTAGCCTTCTATGTGATGCATGCTTCAGTGAATAGCCTTAGATCTTTTACTAGCTTTTAAAAATAAAATCATGTAACAAGGTTAAAGAATAAATTGATACATTGGTCTCCATCCTCACTCAAATATGAGTATCTTCTCCTTTCCTGACAAAATATGGCTTTTACTTCAATTATAAACCTATATATCACAGATAGACAAGATTTTTCGTTACCTCCATGTTGAATTATCCATATGACAAATATGTACCATCTTTACTTACCACGTCGCAGTGCTGACGGCAGCTTATTCCTGAAAAACATCTGCCTGGCTTTTTCTCATCTACTCTTATTTTTTAAAACTGACGTCCACTACCCTTGCAATGCTTACTGGACTTTAAATACATTTATGGTCATTTTGGAAGCTCCCCTTCCAAAGATGCTAATTTTACAGTCACACATCTAAAATCCCTCAGAGAAATGGCCTGATCTTAATCATCAACTGTCAATAATTCCAAAATCCAGAGAGAGAAAATCCTAAGTTTTCAATTCAACTGTCCACTGATCTGGTAAATGATACCCATAACATGTGCTGACCACTATCTCAGCATGAAACTGACCACTGAGTCAGGATTTTCCTCCCACTATGACTGTCAACCGTGGTCATCTATTTAATATCAGGATGTGTAGCCCACTCTGTCACAAGAAAGCATGCAGTCATCAAATGTCATTCAGAGACATTCATATGTTATATAATGCTTGAGTTATGTAATCCCAGAGACACTGTCCACTAAGCTGGTCATTTGTCCAGTGACTTCATCCTATGAGCTGCAGGCTATCCAGATGGCCATTTAGAGCACACGTAGGAAGTGGGAAATGACCAATGGTCAGCTTGGTATGCCGTTTGTGTAATTATTGTAAAATATTGTCTCCTTCACACCAGTGAATGGTTCCCAAACCAATCGGGGTATCTCTCCTTCTCTTTCTTATGGACGCTGCACCATGACTGAGCAAAAAAGGATACCTATAGCGAGCAAATCCTTCATGTACTTCTAGGTCTTGCTCACTTCAGTTCTTGTACCTTGATTGAATGGTCAAGCCAATGGTCAGAATATACCTATACCTATCCACACTCTAATTTCAAGGAGCCTACATACATCTAGGCTAAACTTTATCACACATTTCCAGAGATCTACCAGCTGGTTTAATCCTCCCCACTGCTGGTCTGGCACTCAGTCCCCCTCCACAGTACACTGATTAGCTCATTTATATAGCCAACTTGGCCAAGACAATCACATGGCTAATCAGGTTACAGTTAAACAG